TGGCAGAGATGGGCTTGAGGGTGTTTTCACACTGGAGTTTGCTAATAATGTATTAGCCAAAAATATACATATTTAAGTATATAAATCAATAACTTCATAATAAAATTTTCAGATGTATAGAGATATATTCATTGAGAGTATAGTAATATGATATATAATTTGCAAAGCTTTCAGTGTGACTCTCTCTGCAGCTTACATAGTATGTGACGACAAGTGATTCACTGAATCATTTTCAACCGAGTTGTTAAAAACGCTGATTCAAAACAAGTACAGAACATTTGAGTAAGTCATTGAATCGTTCACACAAACAGTTCATTCAAAAACACACAATTCACTCAGGTACTCAGTACTGGATGTACGAGTGATTCATTGAATCATTCACTTAAACGATTCATTCCAAAACACTGAATCATTAAGGAACAAAATATGTTGCTGTGCGTTAGGTGATTTGTTTGTGAAGCAAAAACAGACAAATATCTGTTAATATTGTCTCTTACTTATAATTGTGATGCAAAACAGCATTTGTTTATCGAAAAACAGCATTCATGCTTGTGTGATATTGTTTAAATAACAACCGCAAATGGTACGTCTCGAAAGATTTATAAAAAAAATTATGTGAACACACCCGATTTCTACTTGTGCATGCTTATCTAGTTACTTGCCATTAGTACTCTGGTGGTAAACACGGTAGTGATGCTATACCTTTTTAGAAACTGAATTATACAGTTACTACGGTTAAGCCGAATTGAGTGTGAACACTCCCTGAAATTCTAAATAGTGGATTTGACACTGTTTTGGTTTAAACAAGTGAATTTTGATATAAAATATCAAAATTTTATATATAATCAGGCAATATAATACAAATTTGATATAAAATATTTGTAAGATAGTAGATAGGTTGCAACTTGATTTGTTGTACAACTCTGTTGTCTTTCATTTGTACTGATGACAGAATCAAGTTTATTTTCAAGCTGTTTTAAATGAGAACTAACTCGGCTAAGAGCTTACAGTTCTTATTTTTACAGAAATAAACAACACATGATTTGTTAGTCCTTTGGACTAGCATAATGCTGTCAAGCATATGTGTTGAAAATACAAACTGTCACAACAGTTAAGACATACTTGTGATAGCAGAACTAAAAGCACCTACATTTCACATAAATATTCATTCTCACTTGCTGTGCTCTTTACAGTTGATCACACTGTTGCATCAGTTGCATGCTTGCATGCTTAGTAGAAGTCTCTTTTGCTGCACTCAGACACTGTTGTGGCAGCTGTCCTTTTAAAGGGGTCATATCATGAGCAATCAGATTTTTTGTGAAAAAATAACTTTGAGTTATGCCCTGATGTAATGATTGACAGGTGCGAATGTGAACATGTTAATGCAATTGTGTCGGAATGCATTTTCAAGTTGCATTAATATGTTAAAAATATCCCTCCATTTTATTTTTTGCTAATTACCGTTCAGACGTTTAGGGTCTCTTATGCTCACCAAGGCTGCATTTACTTGATCAAAAATACAGTAATGACAGTAATATTGTAAAATATGATTACAATTTAAAATAGCCAAACATATAATTAATTGAATATATTTTAAATGTAATTTATTCCTGTGATGCAAAGCTGAATTTTCAGCATCATTACTTCAGTCTTCAGTCACATGAAATCAGAAATCATTCTAATATGCTGATTTTGGTGCTCAAGAAACATTTCTTGTTATTATCAATGTTGAAAAGAGTTGTGTTGCTTAATATTACAGTAAAAACTGTGATGCATTTTTATCAGGATTCTTTCTGAATAACAAAGTAAAAGTCTTTACTGACACCTTTGATCGATTTTATGCATCCTTGCTGAATAAAAGTAATAATGTTTGTTCTTTTTAACAGAAAACGTTATAATGTAGGAAATGGCAAATTTCATTTCTGAATTAGATTTTTTTTTTCTTTGTACCAAATATGGGTATTGGATATGTAAATTCAAATACGCTAATACATTGCCACTATATATTTAACAACTGAAGAAAACCACCTTTATGCTTCCATAAGGAAGAGGATGGAAAATATCATATGAATCAATAAAAAATGATAAATACTTTTGGTAAAAAAAAGTAAAAAAAAAAAAAATGTATGATACGACCCCTTTAAAGGGGTCATAGGAGGCTACATGCACTTTTACAAGTTGTTTGAACTGAAATGTGTGTTGGCAATGTGTGTACACAACCACCCTATAATGATAAATATCCACCCAGTGTTTTTTTTTAATCTGGTTAAATGATTTCCCCTTTCTCAAATCGAATTACTTTGTTTTTGAAGAGAATGCGCCCCCGATCTACATAAATGCGTCTATGTTCGCACGAATCATTCGTGATCCAGCTTCACCTACAGAAGAAGCAAGTGTAAGGTTTTTTTAATGAATCTTTACAAATCGCCTTTCATAATAATGTGCTAATTAACAAGTTTCACGATGAATGCGGCTGAAAAAAGAGCTGTTTTTGACAGGGTAAAAAAGGTGTTTTTTACACTACCATTGGAAATTTTAACCAAACTATGTTACAGATTTTCATTAAGACCCTAAAGAATCATATCAACTTGTGGAAAATGGGCATCCTATGACCCCTTTAATGCAAAATTAACCTCAATGAATAGTGCTCTTCTCATTTAAAATCACATTTTGAGGATGTTTACAAAAGATAATCCAATAACCAGGGCTTGTATCGTTCTGTCACTCTGTTTTTGACAACCACTCTGGCCTTCTGCAGTGCAACCTCACAAAAACACACGTGTGTCAACAGCAGATTTGTAACTCCCTCCTCATCCCTCTTTCTTCCTTTTCTTTGTGTCTATCCCTCTTTCCCTGAGCGATCCTATGGATATTTCTCATTCCTCTGCTATGCGACTCATGCCTCTGTTTTATTCCTCCTTTACTGCTCTTCCAATCCCTTGTCAACTCAAATCTCTCTTTCTCCCTCTCACTCTGACCCCGTGACCTCCATTTGCTTTGATCTTCCTATTCTGTACTTCCCTATCGATCTTCTTGCCATGGGAACTTCTCTCTTTCGTATTCCATTCGCTGATTTTTTTGCGGAATCTTCATCCCTCCATCATTCCATCCCTCCGCCTGCTCTCTCTCTTCTCCTCCCCTTTCCTCTCTCTCTCTGTCTCGCTAGGAAAAGCAGCTTTCCGCCTTGGGTTCAGCAGACCCCGGTGTGAGTTTTGGCGGAGAATTGACCAGCGCTCCTGGAGTTGTTGGAGTCTCCCAATCGGACAAATCCTCCACCCGATCCCCCCTGAACGGAATCTTGTCCTTCCCTTTAGCCTCCCCTCCTCATTCACGTCCTCTCGCACAACTCCGGCCGAACGGAGAACTCTCCGGCAACCTAAAATCAGCAACGGCATCGGGGGCAAGTTCGGAGGGGGAGCAGGTCAATAACAACACTGACCAAATCCGAGAACATTTTTAGGAATTCCGAAGAAAAATTCATGTTCTTTGTCATCCGCATTGAAGGATGAAGCTTCAGCGGTTGTTTTATTTTGTGCATTAGACTGAGGACAAGTGGGAGGCGGGACACACCATTACTTGCTCCATCCAAAACAAAAGGGCTCTCCATTGGATCCGATATGTTATTCCAAAATCACGTTTTCTTTGGATCAAAGTTAAAAGCCCCTTGCACATACAGTAACTCTGCCACCACATCAAGTCATCCAAACCACTGGAAAGTGCTCGGTTCAGGTTCCAGGTTTTTTGACTGAGCTCCCTCGTATTGTGTAAAAAATTCCAAGAAGCTGGGAACAACCCCAGGAATGGTGGGCAAACAAACCATACGTACGTTTCGAAGTGTATAGAGGACGAAATTTGACTGACGAACACACGCCAGCTTTGTCTTGGGGATTCTGTCATGTCGTCTGGCTTCCCTAGTGCCTTTCTGTATCTCCTGACAGGGTTTTCAAACGAACGCAAGAATAACGACAGCAGAATTACAGAAATGGTCGTGCAAACGCCGCTCTCTTCTCGAGATTGCTCACTTAGGAGAGACTGATGTGTTCTTTTGCCTCAATGTAATGCTGAAAATGTCAAGCTTTGGAATTCGACCGTGGCTCGGGTTTTTTGTGGACACTGTTTGGAAAGTGCTTGTGGTCTTTGAATTGCCAACTTGCGCAATGTTTTCTCTTCTCAATCTCAGAACCTATGTGTATTTAACTGGTGCTATGGATTCTCAAAGCAGTGCTCTGTGTCACATCACCGCCTCCCATTCTGTCATCGTCCTAACTGTTCATATGTGTCTTCGTCCTCCCATTTATCTCCTTACAGGCCGATTTCTTTCAGTGTGTGTCTGCAACATGAGGTGAGCGCGAGGTGATCTCTGTCAGGTCAAAAACCTTTTGTCTTTTTACTAAAACAAGATGCTAGGCCAGAATGCAGTTGTGGTCGTAAAGTATTTTTTATACAGACATGTTTTCCTTAAAATGGACATGATGTGAAGTGAGCTGATATTTTAAATAAGCATAACTTTTTTGTGTTTTTTGGTCTTAAAGTCAACATGAAAGTCAACTTTAAAGCAACCAATTTTCCCTCCAAAACGTGACGTTTTTGAGTAAAATGGGAAGAATAGACTTTATTTTTTAAGTTTTAGGAATTCATTGGATTGTAAAAATGGGTGTTATATACTAGAATGCAGTCTGGTAGCTAAGAAACAAAAGGGATTTGTGATGTTTTCTGAAAAGTATTTTTTAAAAAGATAATGAAAACAACCCTGTTTTTTTAATAGAATAGCATGAACCAAATAATCATCAATAAGACAACTATGAATGTAAAAAGTAGACAATGACTCGCACCAAATAATTATTACATTTGCATTCATGGAATTGGCAGATGCTTTTATGCAAATCAACTTACATTTATGGTTTACATTTTATCAGTTCACACGTTCTCTGGGACTCAAACCCACGATCTACTGTTTAAGCTCTGCTACAAAATTGCGAATAATATGTTAAAAGTAAACAGGGTCCGTTTTGTTTTCATGTTGACTTTAAAGTTGCTCAAGCATCTCTAAAGTAGTTTTTGGTGGTGTTGAATGGTCATTTTAGGGAAGATCTTGTTAGATAACAGACTTGGTTTGTAAAATAATCAGATCTTATGTACTGTACAGAAATATTGCTAGCTATAATTCCTCATTTGAGTATCACTGCCATCTTATACTGATTGTATTCCTCATCGTTCACTACCGTTTTTGTTTTATTGTTTGTTTTACGATTAATCGGTTCATTGTCATGTTTCTACAGACTCAAGACATTCACGTGGCTTCACTGATACCAGTCTTCATTTGTAACCCAATTCATTGTTGATTGCCTTGTTGTCGCATTGTAAAATACTCACGTTCTGTATGTAACACAGCTAAACCAATACAGCTGGCCTAGATGAGAGTGAGGAGATTTAAGTCGTAACTGCACAATAAAAACACTGAGCTGTACTGTAATATTTATAGATTGGGAAGGCACTAGAGAGGAGAATGGACTGATTGCCATTTTAGCTTTTAAGAGCTTCGAGGGCTATCTTTAAGTGACTTCTACACCATTTAGTAATAATAAACAGGCAATTTTGTTTATGTCCCAAAAGCGGTTGAGATATAGTGGGATAACAGGGTTATCAGCTGAAAAATGTGCCATGACATGAATATACCTCAGACGTAGAATCGAATGACTCAGGTAAACTTTCAGTTGCCTCACAGTTTAACGCAAACTGGATAGAAAAAAAAAATCATTTTAAGTTGAACTGCCTGTTTTGGCAGTTAGTCCATTTCTTCTCTGAGATTAGTAGCAGTGATTGGTCAGCGGCTCATCAAGCACCTCCTCTTTTCCCTGCATCTCCAGCCAATCACAAAGCTTCGTGGAGGACAATCTGGAACCTAATTGGAGGCCTCACCTTGGACATTCTTCAGGTTGGCCAGGTTTTAGTTCCAGGGCGCTGTCACGCGATTCGGTTGGTTGACAGAGGAGAAACTGAGGCTTTGACCCAGTGCCAGAGCTGATCCAAAGAAAAAATATAGGTTCCCGTCCTCTGACGTACCCTCTCTCTGATATAATTCGATATGATGACCGTTTGGGATGCTGTCAGATGGTTTCTGCGGGCCTCTTGATGGCACGAGAGATGACGTCGCACGCAGCGCAGTGGTTCGTTGAGAGAGCTGGAGAGGTTCTGAGGATCAGATCAATCTCAAAGGTGCTGTTTTTTAGGTTCTTTACTAACTACATGTAGAATATTGAACAATCCTCTACTTCTTCTCATTATGATCTTCATATGCCACATTAGCTCTACCTGTCATGCCTGCCTGCATCTCAATCATGTCTTTTATTTTGGGGAAACTGAATATGCACAGCCTTTTTTTTTTCTCTCAAGAGACGCTGATTTGTCCTTCAGCAGATTTGATAAGAGGCTGGAAATATCCGAACTTTTGTTTCCTGTTGGTTTTCTACTTTTTGACTGGACCTCACCCAGATGATCACATATTTACATGCTGGTAATGTGAGACAAGAACTTGAAAAGTCTGAAAATAATCTTTTTTTTTTTTTTGATCTGTGAATTTATGTGACAATCTCTTTGCGAAGCAAAATCGACAACCTGTTATTTTACCTGCTCCCCCTTCCCACACTTTGCTACGTCCCGGATCCTCACCGACTCCTTTGTATGTGAAAGAAAGATGGATTCTTTTACTTTTTAATTCTCTTTGGTTTTGCTGTGGAGTTCTTGATTTTATGGACGACACCGTTTAGATGTGGAATCCTCTTATTTAGAAATTTGGCGGTCGCACGTTTGTAGGATCGTGGGTAGTTTTGCAAAGCCAAGTTGCTGTTTTAAATGTAACTTTATTTCCTTGTTTGGATGCCATTGCCGGGCAACACGGACATTTCTCTGCTTCCTTTTTACACCACTAGACAAAAATATAAAAGTTGAGAGATCATGCAGGTGAAATAATGTTGTGGGTGACTGTGTGTATATAGAGTGTGTGTACAGTCTTTATGTATATACTGGATTTATGGAT